GGTATAGCGACCCGGAAGCCTCCTCCTGTGTGCTCCTGTTGTGGTTTTTAATATAAAATTTTTATTATTAATGTTAAAATGAGCAAAATTTTATTTTATAAAGTTTTGTTGTTAGTTTGTTCCAATCAACATTTGTAAGTGATAGGTAGATATGGTACTATCACTCTTAGTTATAAGAGCAGTTTGTATAATCTCAAGGGAAGGTTGCATTAAGAAAATGTACTTGAAGGGCCAGGGATTTAGGTCAGTGGTTCTGTTGCCTGCCTTGCAAGCACAAGGTCCTGAATTTGATCCCTGGTACCCCCCCCCCCCCAAAAAAGAATACATACTTCAATAATCCAAAAGTTGATTTCAGTTTTAGTGTATTGGAGCAAATATTTTACAAAGCTACTTCTTTTTCTTTTCTTTTTCGGCTACTGGGGATCAAACTCAGGACCTGGCTATTGCGAGGCAGGTGTGGAGCCACTAAGCTAAATCCCCAGCCCTACAAAGCTACTTCTTATCTTTTGTGAAAAGCAAAACAAGCAGAGGCTACTTGAGGGATATTTATACTTGGGACAGAAAAATGAACCATCTTTTTTCTGACTTTGCTGAAATTCCATTTATCACTGCCCCTATGTTGGTCAGAACCTCAGGCATACTTTCTGTGAAGGAAAAGGATTTAACTGACACACACGGTAGATCAGTACTGTAGAATACAGCTGATTAAAGAGCTAGATGCTGGTTTTAAATAGATATGGGTTTTAACCTCAACGTTTCCAACTCTCAGCTGGTTATTAACTACAGTAGTCTCTGATTTTAATCTATGAAATGGGTATAACCGAACCGCTTAGGGGGAAAAGAACTGACTTGGGGAGAAGAGATTAAGTTAAACATGTTTTTTATGTTTGTGATAGGATATTAAATTCTGTAAAAATCACAAAATGTCAAGACAGAGTAAGAATTTAGAGTTCATTTTGTTCAATGTCATTATTTTATAAATGAGGATAATAAAATCTGAAAAAGCCAAGAGGCATCTCCAGGATCATAGAGCATTTGGCAGTAAAAGGTCAGTGATTTTGTCCAACTTTATGGAAAACTGATCTTAAAATAAGAACTGTAAGGATGTTTTCATCATTTTTAGTTTTATTTTATGGAAAGTATTTCAAGAGTAAATCTTTCTTAGAGATACTGTCAAGAAATAATTACTCTGAGAGACCCTTTTCTATTAGGCTCTTGGGTCAGAATCAATAGGCTATTTAAAAAATTTTATCCAGATGTAGGCAAGGTCATAGTTATTACTCCATGACAGAGTACACTATAAATTTACTTCATTTAACCAGCAAAGTTGCAATAACATCTTCAGGTGGACTTTATTTTTCATAATTTAAAAAATCATTTCAGTAAATATACGTTCTGTTTCCTAGATGTCTCCTGAAGAAAAAGTTTGTAACTACTGTGGAGTCAGCTATCTAATTCTTCATGAATTTAAAGCTATGGAAGAAAAAGTGAAAGCAACGGAAAAAGAGATGACATTTTATCAAGGAATTATAGAACTTGAAAAGAGGCTTCAAGAAGAGCTACAGTCTCTTAGCCAAGATTTTGAACAGTGCAAAATTGACAATCCAGAGAAGAAAGGTTGAGTATGTTTTTCTTTTCTATCATTTATTTACTTTGAAAGAAAAGTACAGAAAATAGATTTTGAATGTTTTTCTAGAATTTCTCAATATCAAGTACACTTGAATACACTAGTTTGTTAACTATATTGTTACTAAATATAATTA